ACGAGCAGACTTGTCTGATGAAAAGGGACATGGTCGTCTGCAGCTCAGGAGTCAGAAACGCGTTGTCGGTCTTTTAGGAAGGAGTACGCTCTTTTCTTGAAGGTTTGAAGGTCGTATCGGTTCGGAAATAAAGCAGACGATAACCCGTTAAACTAATTTGTTGTGCGGGGCAAAAAGTGTCTTGAAAAACGCACAGTAGTGGAGCGGCAACTATCCAGGTAATGAGGATGAAATTTTTTCCGTGAGGAACGATGACGGAAAGTTGCGGCTGGTATTCGTCGGAACAAATCCTCGGAGCACTCTACATTATATATGTGATAGAGAATGCAGAGTGAAGACACATCTACGTAACGCCAAGGGATCGAGCCGATCGGAGATGTTTTTTTTTTGTTTTTACTCCGAATATTATACTAGTGGATGTTAACTGATCGAATAATTACTTCATGCATTACAAATTGCACATTTACAACTGGCAATTTTAGCAAAATAAAAATCATCATCAACAGCCTATAACAGTCCACTGCTGGACATAGGCCTCTCCCTAAAAAGGAGGTTTTGGCCTTCTATACCACGCTGGCCAGACGGGTTGGTATAGGGTTTGTTTCCGTTTTCCTTCTCTTTACAGTGCTGTTGTCCTGCGTAGTTTGCTCCCGTAGTCGGCTCTTACGACACCCACAGGATGAATAGGGGTGGTGACATTCCGTATTCTTAATCCGTCACCACACGGATTAAAAAAAAAGCGCCCTTAATTTAAGATTGCATAAATAAAGCAAAAAGCTTTTAATAGTTACATAATATGTTTTACAGCTAGCGTGGACAATTTGTCATACCCTACCCTTACGTCATATATCATTAGATTTAACTTTCATTACATAAAGGAAGACCTCTATGAATAATTAGAGAAATGACTAAGTAACATAAGTTTGAAATACATCTGAGTAGTGTTATGTTACACACATAATTTATTGAGGGCCTGAATACTGAACCAAATTTAGTTATATATGTATTTTGCTATGTGGGATTTGTGTGTGGGTGTGTAGTTTGCTATGTGGGATTTGTGTGTGGGTGTGTAATTTGCTATGTGGGATTTGTGTATGGGTGTGTACCTAAATTGTGTATTTAGTTGTATGAATTAAGCATTAATTAGAAGGTTTGTTATGAAGATACCTTTGTAAAAACCTTTAAGTGAGACTGTTTTATTTGAAATATTTTTTTTGTTTTTTTTTTAAAAAGAAAGAACAAAGAATTAAGAAAATATCCTGTATTGCGGGGGACTTTACAAAAATTCATGAGACGGATATAAAAAAATATTAGGACAGGACAAAAATTTGTGGATTATATAAAGTGTGTTGTGGGGATCAAACCCACAACACTCGGCGTAGTAGGAAGCGGCAAAGTGACCGCTTAAACCACTACGCCATCCGCACAGTCTATGTATATAAAGTAGCATGTCCAGAATATAATACTAATTTCCCACATCTCACACTAACACATACTGATCCCAAATTAGACAGCCCTTTTGCTATAGTAACGAGAATGCTGAATATGTCTAACTACTATAGATAAATTACACAGACACAGAACATATGATCTTGCTCATATCACAATTATTTGTCCTTTGTGGGCATCGAACCCACGACCCCGCAAACTTAGACTTAGCAAAGTCAGGGTCAATAACCACTATACGAACAGGCCCGTCAATAATAGACAAACAAATTACTTTCATGTGTCTAAATTTTCTCTCATAAATAGAGTAGACAGGACCCTTATTAAAAAAAAATTAATATCGTTTATATTTCATTCAGAATCATTGAAAGAAAAATAAAAATTAAACTAGTGCTTTGAAGAACAAAGGTGCTAAGTAAACAAGCTTTTGGTTTATTTATTTCACAAAATTAAGACGTGGGCGTATTTAAATGCGTCTACCCTCTGGGAGATAATATACGTGAGTATATGTATAATAATAATACTTTATTTCTCTTCACAATGGTATACTTATAGCCAGTTACATTTACACAGTCTAGTCTAGTTTTATATGTGAAGAACTGGTGTCTGTGATAGGCATGGAATGCCTGGCGTTACAAACCACCAGGTCCTCACCCCACGGACATACAGATACATTGTTGACCGCTGTATTATAACTAACGAGTTTATAAGTACTAATGAAAAGAGTAAGTGTGTGGATATCTGTGAAAGTGTTTGATGTGTAGAGTAAAACGTGTCGGATGAAGTGTATTGTTTGTGTGTGTTGTGTGTGTGCATGCGTGTGTGCGTGCGTGCGTGCTTATGTGCGTGCTTGCGTGCGTGCGTGTGAGAGTGTGTGTGTCTGTGCAATAAAGTGTTTGAGTCAATTTGAATGGAGTAGGTTTTCTGTACAATTGTAATTTAGTTTCAGTAACCAGTTCATAGTCAAAAACTTACATTTTGTTTTTGGTAAGGGATATAAACTTAGCGCCCGATTTAATTTATTATATAAAGTTGGACCTTGGTAACCAATTGTATAAATAAACCCATATATGTATGTGTAATTAAATTAGATCCTGATGTGCACCGTATATACGAAATAGTTCAACCTTTAGAAAGGAAGCCAACATAATTAGCTATTATCTTCATTCGTTCAATTTCGATATAACTAAGCTTGCGCCAACGTTTGAGATTTCAAATTTAAACTGAGTAAAATCTCGCTGCGAGTGCTTCCTACCTCGTATAAAACAACGTTCTAGAGTTCCATGACTCCCGTAATTCGCCTGTCTTTTGTGATACGCCAAGCCAATGTAGAATATATGGGGTTAGACATATAGTAATGGTATGTTGAGAAAATTTCCGGGGAAACGTTTGTAAAATTGCGAAAATTTTTTATGTTTTATCGGTATATAGGTGTTTAACTATTTGAATCGCCAAGGACTGTTTAAGACACAACCTTCTATTAAATATCTAGCCATTCTTAGTTTCGTTTATGTTTTTTTTAAATAGCATAACCTAGAAACTCCATGGAATATGGCAGTGCCCTACCACGTAAGCATCAGACGACATAATTCAACTTATTTAATTATAAATGAATATAATTTCATTAATTACTCGTAAGTACATAGATTTAAAAAAAAACCTTCACATGCTTCTAATAAGAAATACATTAAGGACGTCTTTCTCTATCAAAACTGAACAACATAACTTGAATAAAACAAGTTGCCAAGATGATCAAGTGACGTGATCGACTAAATTTTTAAAGTAAAATTTTAAGTCAATATCAATATAGTCAAGTTTCATCAAATAAAAAATGTTGTTGTTCAAAAAAAGGTTTTTATATACAGATCAAAATCATCTACAGCCTCTGACTAAAATACGTTTTGAATTTTATTATTTATTTGTTCCATTATTTTAAAATGCAACGTGTTCTTTCATTTATACCTAAAATCTAAGTATGGTCTAATTCTCTTCATAATTTAAAGTCACCTAGAATAAAGCGGTATTCATGTGGATGCGCCGAGTTTCCGTCTAATTGCGATTTTAGAGAGCGTATACAATTTCCATTTAACAAGTGTGTATTCAGATTAGAATGACGGCTATTTCTGCAGGTTTTGAACTTTCCTTGATTTTTATAATTAATAATTCATTACAGTGGATTGGAGTAATGAAAAATGTTATCAATAGAACTATAGCCCTCAAATATCTATCAAGAAAATGGTGAGTTCATTAAAATAAATATATTAAAAATAACAATGGGTTGACAATTAGGCACTTTGTCATAATGAGTTAAAAACGTCACTTCACCGTGACAATGCGCACGTGACACTGTTGACGTTTCAGTAATTAAGTGAGGTTCTAAATTCAAATTTTGTCTAAAACATATTTAATTTATTTCATGGATTGTTTAGTGAACTTCTGTAAACCATGATCATCAGTATTTTTTTGAGATAGTGATAATTTAATATAATATAGTACCCGGATGACCGATATATTTACAATTTTCCCTAGTTATAAACTTCAGTTTTAAAACTGGCGTTACGTAACGTTTATCTTGATAGCTTACAGTTTATTTAATAATTTTATTTCTTTTTTTATTACTTGTATACATAGGTTTACACTTGCAATATTTTTTACGACATTCTCAATTCTCAACAAAAAGGAGGAACGACATGGGGTACAAAGAACTTCACAGGGGCTTTACGCGTCTGATACGCTTGATATCGCAATATTCAAAATAGGTTACAATAATATTCATCACTTGCCATCAGTGACGTAACGCAACGCAAGGTTTTACCGGTTTTATATAATTAAATAAGTATCTAAAAGTAGAAGAACGGTAAATGCAAATGGACGGTATCACAACTGTTACAAATGCGATCGAAACCAATGAAAGCCACTAACTAGTGATTTACGCCTGAAAGATCACTAAAATTTTCTTGCTAGGCCTGTGAAAAATAACTATTACATTGTATTTAATAAGAATTTCACTACTAATATGCTGAGACCATAAGCCAAACACTGGGTTTAGAGAACAAAATAAAAAGTCAGAAGCGGCAGTGGGCAAGCCACATAGCCCGTAAACACTTCTTGAAATGGTCTTGAAATGGTGACTAGTACGCAAAGAAACTCTAGGAAGGATCTATAGGAAGATGTATCTAGAGGAAATCTTCAAGCACGAAGGTAAAATGACGTCGAAAAAACTGCAGAAATGAATTGGATGGAAGTAGCACAAGACCGGGTAAAATGGGGTAACTTTGAAGGAGAGAAGGAAATACCAATATGCTTGTTAACGACTCAGAAGAAGAGTCTTTTTACAGATACTTCTTAAAGTATATATCTTTGTGACTATGAGTAGCTTAATTGCTAAAACGAAATAAAATAACAAGTAGTGTTCGGTATTAGTTAAAATCCAAACCAAAATGGTTAAGTTTTTAAAATTAGAATCATATTTATAGATGTCTAAATTAGTATTATTACAACATACAAAATATTCATCATTTTTGCCAAGAAACAAAGTAAAATGGTTTTCTTACCTTCCCTCTATGCGTCCAATTTATGGTATTAGGTGGCTCCGGTGTATGTCGGACAATACACGTCAAATTTATCGTAGAGCCAGCGTATATAAACAAGTCTGGGCCCCCCATAATCTCAGTCTCGGGTTCTGTGGACAAAGAATATTTTTTTATTTCAATTTAGAATAACTAATGCCACTAATATGTAAAAAAAATAAAACTTAACTTTTTCTTATTTCTGCCTAAGTGTGGTAAAAATCTTAGAGATATTTTAATTAAATCTTATTAGTAAATAAAAAAAAGCCACATAAACACGTAACATTCGTAATTATTTGTAGATCTTTAGAGACTTTTGATTTTAAGAAATGTCTTATCTGACAGGGTGTTAACGTAAGGTTTGGATAAATATTGGAGTGCCGACAAATAGTTGATTAAGTTTGAAAAAAAACACCTAATCCCATTCTAGAAAAGGCATTTAAAAGAATGAAAATAGTAGATTTTAAATGTTGGTTTTTAATTTTCAATTCAATTTTAATCGTTTGATTTTTTTTAAACTTCGGTTTTTAATACTTTTAGTTTAATTTCTGTTAGCCCAGTCAGTCAGTCAGTCTTTTATATAAAATATTACCTTTTTGGGATAATTTTCCAACTCAATTTGTCATTTTTATGTTCCTTCAACATAAGGATTTAGTTTTGAAGTTGTCAACTCTGTACGTCTACGGGGTCTACTATTCGACCTTATAATACGACAACATCTTTCTGTAAAACCATATTTAATTCAGTAATTTTCACTCTTTGAGCTTATTTCGTAGCCTTGCCCATCTTTAAACTTTATATACAAATATAATTTGTGGGTCGTATATAATCTGGGGGGGTGGGTCGATGTAGGTCTTAGTGGGGCGTGTTCTTTTTTGCCAGGGAACATGCACCTAAAAAATGCTAAGATTGCCAGCTAGCGCACGCCTAGGTGTACGGAGCTAGGCTGACAGGCGCACATCGACAAGTTCTTCATACACGTCCCCGCCATCTCTAGACTGCCGACGCGGTCTAGTGATGGGCCCACATACTTTCATCGGTGTGGGTCGTCCCCTCCGGGCAATGCTGCGGCCTGTTACGAGCCCCGTACTTATCATCTACCTCGTGACCGCAGCAGCTGAGTATGAAGAACGAAGGCGAATCTTCGGCGCCATAACCGAATCATCTGGCAAAAGAAAGGAAAGGGAAGACAACCCAAAAGGAAAAAATTACACTTACTATGGAAGAAGCAAGACTTAAAGATAATCTACCCCAGGAGGGTACCGGCGAAGCCGGAGAATCCCTCCCTGAGCATAGCTCGGGCTGCCCCACGTATTCTGGGGGGGGCAAAGGATTGCTACCTAGTGAAACTTTACCGGAAAAACCAAAGAAAACATTGACTCAACAATTATTTCATCCAGGCCTATTTCATCGCCAACGATCAGCGTCACTTAGCGAAATAAACCAGACAAAACAAATTAACAACCCACAATTAAAAGGAGATGAGCAAAGCAAAGTATACAACCATAACGCGCCATGGCAACGAGTGCCAAAACAAAAAAGAAACCGCTCTCCTGATGAAAAAGATGTAAGAGCTAATCAAGCCAAAAGAACCCAGCGACGTGAGACAATTATTAACAAACACAGAGGAATAAATAATGCTGAACAAAATACTTCCGCAGAAATAGGAACAAGTAACAGCTTTGAATTGTTAGATGTGGAAGTAGGAGATACTCCAGCCAAAAGAACACCTAAACCACCACCGATAATACTGTATGGCATTGAAGACCTTGCGAAACTCACCCAACTCATCGAAGAAGTTGTGGAAAAGGATGACTACACTTACAAAATAGTATCCAAAAATCAGCTCATCATCTCATCCCATACGGTTGACAAATATAAAACCCTGATAGAGCATATAAGAAGCAAAGGACTTATAGGTCACACTTTTACACGCAAGGATCAAAAATGCACAAGGATTGTTATTAAACACCTTCACTTCAGCACACCAAAAGATGCTATCATAGAAGCAATAGAAAAAACCGGAAACAAGGTTCAAGGGGAAATAGTCACTGCTCGGAAACAAGGAACCAAAGAACCCCTAAATACATTCTTTGTCAATGTAGCCCCGCATGAAAATAACAGACTTGTCAAGGAAATTAAGTTCATATATAACCAGAAAGTCACCATAGAAGATCCAATAAGAAAAACGACTGTGGTACAATGTCAAAGGTGCCAGCAATATGGACACAGCAAAAATAACTGCATGAGGCCGTACAGATGCGTGAAATGTGCCGGAGCACACAAAACCACCATGTGCCCGATTGATGAAAACACCCCAGCGGTTTGTGCGCTGTGCTCAGGAAGTCATCCTGCTAGCTACAAAGGATGTCAGGTGTATAAGGAAATTGTAGCAAGAAAGCATACTGGAAACGAACGACAGCCACATCCGAGAACAAGAGCAACTCAGAAAGTATTGAAAAACCACACTACAACTGACGAGTCCCAAACTGTCACAGACACGACAATCATCAAGCCTGTAAGTAACCCCAGGGCCACCCAACCAACAAGTCGGCAGTCCAGCGTAATAGAAAGCTTGAAACTTTACAGTGAAGCTGTCAAAGGATCTAATGAAGCTGTAGTAGACCTTACAGAGACACAGAAAGCATATCCGAGAAATAACATTAACCACACGAAACCACAGAGAACACAGAAAGACAAAGTTTATCATACAGAGTCACAGAGAATAAATACAAAAACTTACGCTGACCTTGAGTCACAGAGAACACATTTGACAAAAATAGAAATCGAACAGGACAATAAATATAGCTTAGAAGCACTTTTACGAAGACAGAGTGAAAGGATCGACCAACTCATATCACACTTTAGCACAATGATGAATCTCATCATGACACTCATCAGTAGGCTTCCGCAATGACGTCATTACGTATTGCTACCTGGAATATCAATGGCCTAACGCCAAATAAACAAGAACTAGAGGTACTGTTGAAAGATAATAAAATCGATATTGCTCTGATATCAGAGACCCATCTTAATTATCGTAAGAGTTTCAAGATGGATAACTACTGCGTATATTGTACCAATCATCCTGATACTACATCACACGGAGGGTCTGCAGTTATTGTAAAAAGTAACATTAAACACCAACTTCACAGTCAGTTCCAAGAAGATTGGATGCAGGCTACTACCATCACTATAAACGAACGCATGGGCCCTATTAACGTAAGCGCTATCTACTGCCCACCAAAGCATAACCCAAAACAACACATGTTTGACTGCTACTTCCAGATCTTGGGAAACCGATTCATAAGCGGGGGAGACTGGAACTGTAAACACACCCACTGGGGATCAAGATTGACCACTACTAAAGGACGAGAGTTGAAAAAATGTATTGATAAACACAAACTTATAACAATAGCAACAGGCGAACCAACTTACTGGCCAACTGACGCTAATAAGATACCTGATCTAGTAGATTTCTTCATTGTAAAGGGACTGTCTGATATATATTTTGATGTGGAATCATCGCTCGATAGCGTCTCTGACCACACCCCTATAATAGCAACATTTAGCGTGTCGGCAATACACAGAGCACAGAGGCCAGCATTGTACAATCACAAAACAGACTGGGATGCTTTCACTGAATATCTGAAAGATGAAGTCAACTTAAAGGTCAAACTTAAAACAGAACAAGATATAGATGATGCAACATTCTATATCACAAACCTTATACAAGTCGCTGCGTGGCGTGCTACCCCGACATTAGGCTATTCCACCCATAAAAATAATATACCGCTGGAAATACGCAACAAACTGAAAGAGAAACGGAGACAACGAAGGCAGTTACACACGAGCAGGTCTGATTTAGACAGGGCAGAATACAATAGAATCACTAGAGAACTAAAAGAACTAATCAAAGAAAATCGGAATACATCTTTTCAAGAAAAACTTTCTACGCTTTCAGCTCACAAGAAGGACAACTACTCACTATGGAAAATAACTAGAGGCTTTAAAAGACCATTTAGCCATATTCCACCACTAAGGATCTCTTCCGACGATCCGTGGGCTAGAAGTGGAAGTGAAAAAGCTGAGCTTTTCGCTAAACACCTAAGCAGGGTTTTCACTCCAAACCAGTCATCAATGACGGAATTTGAAGAGGAAGTTGATCTAATGATCAATAGTGACCAGCAGTTATCACTACCGCTGAAGCTTGTCACTCCAAAGGAACTAGCACGAATAATTCGTTACTTGGAAAACAAAAAAGCTCCTGGCTTCGACCTAATAACGGGTGAAGTCCTTAAGCAACTGCCTAGAAAAGCAATAGTATTTTTAACAATGCTATTTAATGCCATTTTTAGAATTAATTACTATCCAAAGCTATGGAAAATATCCCAAATCTGTATGATTGCAAAACCAGGGAAACCACCAACAGAACCTAGCTCATACAGGCCCATAAGTCTTCTCCCTATTCTGTCAAAGGTATTCGAGAAGATTCTATTGCTAAGACTAAAACCAGTTCTGGACGAAAACAAGATTATACCTGATCACCAGTTTGGATTTCGGGAAAAACACTCTACTGTCGAGCAAGTACATCGTGTGGTTCACAAAATTAGACAATCGCTAGAGAAAAAGGAGTATTGCTGTGCATTATTCATTGACATCCAACAGGCATTCGATAGAGTCTGGCACAAAGGACTGCTGTACAAGCTAAAAACCCTCCTACCAAACTCTTTCTACATGATCCTAAAATCTTACTTGGATCAAAGAAGATTCCAAGTAAAATACGAAGAAGAGCTATCACAGCTGTATTACATCACTGCCTCAGTTCCACAAGGATCGGTGCTTGGCCCAGTCCTTTACTCAATATACACGGCTGACTTGCCTGAGACAGAAAAAGTTGTAACAGCAACTTACGCAGACGACACCGCATGCCTTGCAAGCGATACAAACCCGAACAACGCATCCCTGCTGCTACAGGAACAGCTCAATAAAGTTGATTTATGGCTTAAGAAGTGGAGAATCAAACCTAGCGTAACCAAATCGACACAAATAACATTCACACTCCGAAAAGGCGACTGTCCACCTGTTCTTATGGAAGACAAGCCATTACCAA